TGAAGCTATTGGCAACCACTGAAGCATGAGTTCGATCCCTGGCCAGGGAGCTGACCCACATAGCACAGAAGACCTCTCCTGTCTCACCCACTGCTCCCTTCAGCAGTGTTTTTCACTCAATCAGCCTGTTCTGTTCCCCACTCTGTCTCTGGTGAATCCTCTCACACTCCCTGCCTAGCTTTTGTATGAATAAATAAAATAATTTTTTTTTAAAGAGTCAAACTCACAAACAATGAATAGAAAAGTAATTGTCAGAGGTTGGGAGTTGGGGCAGAGTGAAAGAAATAGGGAGAGGCTGATAAAGGTTTGAGGCTCTAATATAAAACATGGTTACTGTACTGTACTACTAAAATGTGGTAAAGAAGTAGAAATTCAAGTTTCAAACACACAAAAGAAGATATATATAATGGATGAATTCATTAGCTAGAAGGATTGGGTGGGCTCCTTTTACTATACACACATATCAAATCACCATGATGTGTACTTAAAATAACTTAGAATGCTTAGTGTCAATTATACCTCAAAAAAGCTGAAATTTAAAGGAAGAAAGCACCTGACCTGGTTTTCTAAAGGAAAACTAGGAAAAGGTAGTATTGTGTTTACAAAAAAAAAAAAACAACTTAATTGCAATAATGTAGTAATTCTTGAAAAAAGAGTCAACTGATTTTGTTTATGTTGAAGCAGTTTCTTTTCCACAGAATTTCACACAACTTCCCTTCCAGTGACCTTCCCATAACATTGAAAGATCTTATTGCCTGGTAGAGCACCTCGTTGTTCTAATTCTGCTCTTACCAGGCAGGCTTGGTAAGTGGTTTTCTACCAATTATGTCCCTGATGCATTTTTTTCCCCTCCCTACCTCATTTAGCTCCACAGAGAAACTTCTACCTGGCTGGCAAGTGCAGTTGCTAATTTAAACCAATAGAGAGCACTGGAGCCACCCAAAATGGATTTGAATGGTCTCCAAAATTCTACCTGGAAGTGTCGTATTAAGGGATGATTGTGGAGAATCTTTTATTTTCAAATCTCTAGTTGTAAAGGGAACTAGATTTCTCCTAGATGGGCGGCAAGAACTGTTTCACTGTATAAACCTGAAACATTTCAGTTCATGGAAAGGACCTCCCCGTCAGTCTTAGGAAACCGTGCCCCTGAATCTCTTATCTATTTTATCTTTGCTACTCCAGGCCCTTTACCCTCCAATGGCTCTGGATCCTGCCAACTAAATCTCCTATTTGCTGACACTATTGGCTTGCAGTCAGCTTGTTCCACACTAACTCTAAGCTTGTCTACTAAGTCATGACTCCCTGTTTCCCAAGATGCCCCACTGAAGATCTGTGCCTTAGCTCCCCTGCACATTCTCTATTCCCAGGGGACCTACAGCATTACTTCTCCTGGTAGAGAATAGGCAGGGCCAAGGGTGGGGACCAGTACAGTTTAGACCCCATCTCCACTCCCCTGGACTGGTGGTCAGAGGACCTAAGTTTTAACCCCAGCAATGCCAGTATAGCCCCGAATGACCAAATAATAAACCTTTTCCTCTCTACAGCTCAGTCTTCAGATCTTTAAAGTGGGAAGCTCTGATTCCCGAGGCTTGTGATTCTCAGTGACTAGAATAGGAAAGTTTTGTAGCCAAGAAAATCATTCTCCTCCCAGTCCTGGTCTTTCTGAAGGGACAGGAAAAAAGAGTCCCACCTCCGTAACATGGTAACCTTGCTAAGGGTGAAATGGCCATTCCTGGGTCTCACTGAACATGGCAGCAACTCTGCAGATTGCTGTTTTCTTTGCAAGCTGGGCCAGCCCTATACACAGCAACCCTGTCTAAGAGACTAGCTGGTGGCATTGATCTTGGTACCACCAACTCCTGTGTAGATGTCTTCCAGCAGGTAATATTAGAAATAATTGCCAGGGATCAGGGAAACCAAACCACCCCAATCTATATCGCCTTTACTACTACAGAGCGAATGATTGGTGATGCTGCAAAGAATCAAGTTGCAATGAAGCCCACCAACCCAGTTTTAATATCAAATGCTTTATTGGGTGTAGATTTGATGATGGTGTTTTCCAATCTGAAATGAAGCACTGGCTTTTTTAAAAAATTTATGCATACAAGAACTGGCGTGTAGACCAGAGGTGTGGTAGAGGGTAAGTAGATTCACCAGGGACAAAGTAGGGAGCAGAACAGGTGGATGTACTGAAATACACCGCCGAGGGGAGCAGTGGGCAAGAGGAGAGGTCTGCTGTGCCTTGTAGGTCAGCTCCTGGCTGGGATGGAACTCAGGCCACAGTGGCTGGCAATAGCTTGATAACTCTGGAACTTAACCCCTGTGCCCCTGAAATGGAGCACTGGCTTTTTCTGGTAGTTAATGCAGGTGGGCCCAAGTGTCAAGAAACTTCAAGGCAAGGTCAATATGAAGACAAACAGAAGATTCTTGACAAGTGTAATGAAATCTGGCTTGCTAAGAACCAGACAGCAGGGAAGAAAATTTGAACATCAACAGAAAGACCTGGAAAAAGTCTGCAACCCTATCATTACCAAGCTGTGCCAGAATGCAGGTGTCATGGGAAGAGGAATACCTGGGGGTTTCCATGCTGATGGAGCTCCATCATCTGCTGGGACCTCCTCTGGGGCCACAACTAAGGAGTTTAATTAAATTAACATGGGCAAGAATTTAGCAGTGGCCCACGCAAAATATT